GACTACGTCAATCCGTTTTAAGCACTTGGTCGGCGGATAATAAATGAAATATCGCATTTTTTGTCGAGTATCAATCAATTCACCCTAAAATGGTCAAATAACACGCATGCTTATAACATTCTTTCTAACTTTTAATATTGCTGTTCTTTATACAACACTGGACTACCGTGACATTCTCTTCTCACTATCAAATCCATGTTCTCATTTAGAAATATAATTTTTCGAATCGTTTTTGTCAATAGAAAATTATCTTTCTTACAACTAACATCTAATACACGAGAGCGATATTCAGATTAATGTATCCATCCTATTGATGATTGTAGTTACGTTGTCATTGTTACACATAGTTTAATTTATTCGTAGATGATGCTTATGTATTGTTTTCTTTGCATTGCCATAAGCTTAAGTGCGTGATGAAATAAACATTTATCCAAACAAGAAGACAACACGAGCAAAAAGGACGTCATTGTAGATGAAGAAAAAATTGCGCGTGTATGAGATTCATAATTACTTGTGATTCGAATAAGTATCCTTCAAGAGTTGTACTTGAGTGCTCATTTAAAAACAACAGACTGACGATGTAACGAATAACGATTAAAAGTGAGAAAGAGAGAAAGAGAGAAAGAAAGAAAAAAAAGAGAAGTTTTAAGTTCTTAGTTGATTTAAAAATCGACTTGCATCATTTGTTGCTTTCTTTCTATTATGCATATAATGAAATTTGAAATGCATGCCATGCAATTGTAATGAGGAAAATGATTTCGCACGAAAAACAGAAGACTATTCTATTCAAGTAACTATCATCATCTCTGTTCTCACTGATGTCAATGAGAAAAGAATATGCGTTCAATTCCATGCTTCATGAAGAGAGTTGGTTACCATTTACCAGAAATGGTAGAACAAATATTTTTGATAAATCAATTTTTAATTAGTTTATCCATTTATATTTCTTCTGCATATGAACATCGGCAAAATGATTAGCATCAGATAAGGACTTTATTCACTGATTATCACTCAGTGAAAAATTTTACAGATTAAAAGGTGTGGGTGTGGATGTGTGTTTGACTGCATATAGGTGGGGCTGTGGCTGTTAGTCTTCTCTTACACCGCCCATACCCACACCCATGCTACGCATATTAGTTATCATCGACCGTCTCTGAATTTATTCATATCTTTGTCATACAAAATAGAAGGAGATCTTTGCATTAAGGCTCTGTCAAAGGATATCTATCCGAAATTACAGAGAATCATCAACAAATTGTGCTAAGGATTCATAATTTGACGAATATTTCATGTTGAGCTCTGTTGTATATCCAAAATCTTGATTAGTTTGTAAAATAGGGTTGGATGATTGAAAAGAATGAAGAGTATTAATCGGAAACTTTCGAGTAAATATTCTATACCACAGTTTTTCAATGCTGCAATTTGATTTTTTTGGAAGTTTGTTTCCTTCCGACTCCTGCTTCAATCTCGGATTGGCGTACTCCATTAAAAACGTGCGTCAAATACTGTATTTTATAATGAGGGAAGCTCAGCGACTATTCAATCATTTTTGAGTCAAGATCATGTGCACTATGTCGACCTTTATGAACTATAAGTACTTTGAAAAGAGTTCAGATCTTTAGATTATTGACGCACAGACGCTTTATGTTTACAGTACTAGACTGGAAATAGTATTATTACAGGCGACCAAAATTATGGTTTCAAATAATATTAATAACAAATTTTACACCAAATTAAATGATATCAAAAATGAGACTTATCAGTACTAAATTGTGAGCGTTACCATAGGTTTTCAATGTCGAATCCAGGAAACTGCCGAATTTTACGCTATATCGATAAAGAAAAATTTTTCTGATTAGACGTTTCAAACTAGATGTCATTTAAAGTAATGCACATCATAAAGCAAAGTTTATTTAGCTAAGGTTTGATGAATAGAATCAGATAATTTTTGTTTCCATTTTTATGAAAACATCTGAAATCTGTTGTTTTTTCAGTTTCTTCGAGACAGGAATTATCTTTTCCGTTTGATACCACTTTTAAAACTCTAGTTTAGATTATTAGTTTCCACGCTTCCGGATACGATGCCAATTACTTTGCGATAATCAGCGTTTTAAATGAGATCTGGTTTGAAGTATCGAATCATAAGAATTTTTCTATGTCGATATAGCGTAGAATTCATCAGTTTCCAGAATTTGACCTTAAAAAGTAGCATAACCCTTACTATTGAATACTGATAAATCCTATTTTTGATACTCTTTTGTTTAGTATAAAGTTTGTTTTTAATACTATTTCAAACCACAGCGTTACTTGCCTGGAATAATATTATTTCCAGCCAAGTATTTTTCCAGTAAATGCTGTGGTTTCGTCAAGAGCACCAGAAAAAATTTGATTTTCGAATGTCGACTCGAAACTTTGCATAAAAACAAATCTTAATGAGAATAGTTTGATGTAGAAATTGCAGATCCATCGAATAGCCTCTATCTTTAAATAGAAATATCAAGTCTTCTGATTTATACGATTGATATAAGAGATTTGCTACTACCATAATTGTAATTGAATATAAGAACAGCGACAATGGCTGAAATTTCTAAAATAAACTATTATCGCCAAGTTTTGTTACTATGTAAGATCTCAATTCGAAATTCAAAAATCGGTTTTTCTGGTGTTTCTGAGGGGACAAGACAATTTTTTCAAGAACGTGGGCGTAAGATGTGAGTGTGTAGCAGAGACCGTCACAGGGCACTTTTTTGTGCCCTGTCCTGCCCTGCCCTGTCCTCAAGACAGGGAAGTACAGGGCAGGGCGCCCTGAGGACATTTAAATTGATTCGCAACTATAGGATGAATTTATGACATGATGAATAAATCTAATGGGTTTTGTGTTCATTATATATGTCTTGTTTGAGTCATTTCAACAGAATATTATTCATGCGTAGAAACAATCAAAAGTTCGTTTAAATTCTATGAAAACGATACTGTTTTTATATAATTATAATCCTGCTGAGATGCTACGTTAGTCTTTTTAAATCGTCAAGATTATTTTCCAATTTTTCTAGTCGATTAAGATTGAATAACTAATTTTAAAAAAATAAAAATTGATAAATATTTTTGATTAATGCGGAAAAATTTTGAAATCTTATCAGTGAAAGAAAACGAAATAATTGATCAAAAGTTACACGATAATCGAGCGAAAATGATGTCATTTGAATTTATTCTTTGTAAAAAAAAATAACTGGCTTTAATCCAGTATCTTCTCTTCTCTTGTACGGATCCAAAGAATAAGCAGGATAACTGCAGAAAAATAAGATATTTATCAATAAACACAGAGATTGTGATTGACTGAACGCTAGCATTTTATCGATTTGCAGATTTTCAGCGCTACTTACCAAGAGGTTGCGATTTATTTTCTATTTGTTATAAATACTTTTGATGGGATAATTGTGGTTAAACTTCTCTGAAGTGGGGAGAACTGTATTGTGCAATGATAAATCAGAATGAGTATCAAATCCATTAGTTCTGATGAAACTAATTGAAAAGACAGGTTCATCACTGGTTGATAGAAGTTATTGGAATTCCATCGATAATAGATGTTTTGAAAGATTCCATTTAGCTTTGAAAAAGGCTTTCAAATAAACTTATGTAAAAAATTTACAAGGAAAAAAAATTTGCCCTATCCTGCCCTGTACTTTTCTTCGGTCGCCCTGCAGGGCAAACAGGACAGGGCAAAAAAGAAGTTTACCCTGAAGTACAGGGCAGGGCAGTACAGGGCATCAGGACAACATGGTAGCCCTGACCTAATGACGGTCTCTGGTGTGTAGTAGCAGTTGCAAGTGTTTAGAACACACCCCATATTCACATTCACATTCACACTCTTCTTGTGTCAATTATATAGCATTTATAAACAGTAGCTCCCTGAAGAATTTCATTATTGTTATATTCGATAATAAAACTGGAAATGATGATATTATCATTTCACAACGCCAATGTCTGTTGCAAGCTTACAGACTTTCTATTGAGATCAAATTCGATTTTCGTTTCAAAATCGCATTTTTTTCTTCGTAGAACCAAATAAAAAAGAAAAGATAAACAGTACTTTTGTTGTTCATTATGATCGATCCTGATAAGCCAAATAAACTTAATAGAATGGTTTATCCACGATTTTTTTGTTAAGCAAATAGTCAGTATATCGACAAGAACTATTTCTGTGTCTATGATGCAAAGGTGAAGTATCCTTTCTTTACTTTCTAATACTTTCACACAGCGTGGAAACCTTCCAATCTTTTATTTTTCGTTGAGCTTTTCTTTTTTTCGTTAAAGAATGGGAATGAGAACCTAAAGATAATTTGTTGTTGGCATTGGTTATAACTTTCACTTAAGAAAAAAACTTAAGAAAGCAGCAAATTTCAATAAAACTATCTTGATGTATTCAATATAAAAAAAAAATTTTAGTTTGTAAGAGTAAGACGAAATTGCTAAATCTACTTGCAAATTGAATTTTTTGAGAAGAATAAGTTTGCTTTTGTATGAACTTTTCACAGCAATCAAAAGTGCTCAGAAGCGACTTTCAAGTACAAGACTGTTTGATTTAGATTCTTCAAAAATATTCTGTTCTTAGTAAAAAGTCCACCCAGGTAGTCATAATTTTTTATTGGAAACTCTTCAGTTTGAATCCTCTTCACTTGCTTTCAATCTTGAGAATGGGTGTGGTATGATGATGTTTGGATGTCGGTGAGAAGATCAACACTCACACTTACCTAACCCACAAAAGAATACCAAAACAAAAAGTATTTCGTCAAATCGCGAATTATCAGTGGATTAAAGAGATTAGTTTTTCATACGCTAAAATATTAAAATACAATAAAAGTATATTAAGCAATCGAAAGATACGTTTTTGAAGTCGTCTGCATGAATTTTAATTAGTAGTTATATAGTTATTGACCTTGATTACGCTTTCCTAATAGTAAACCATCATTCATTCCAATATAAACAGTTCTTTTAAGAGGTTGATTTGGTTTTTCATCTTCAATATCTTTGATACGTTTTTTTCTGTCAGGTATATTTTCACAGCCTTGCTCATCTTCTTTCATACCCGCAGTAGAATATATTTCTAGCTTAAGTTTTCTTAATTGTTCATAACCGATAAATTGACGATCTTTATCCATGCCAACATGAGAAATTTCGTTCAAGTGTTTTTGACGGTGCAATTCAACAAAGTTTTCAATGAACTTATGGCATTCCTTTTTAGCAGCACTTGATTTCACTGTTAAATTTTTAATGCTATTATGTGAATATGAAAAAATTCTTTGTTTTTCATTTGCAATTTGTTTTTGTAACGAATCTAAATGTTTGCTCATTTTCTGTTCGAATTTTTCAATAAATTTTTCTATTTCTTGTCGATAATATCCTTCCAAATTATCCATTTGTATATGACCCTCTTCCATGATTCCTTTGAAAATATTCTGTCGTTCTTGAATAAGTTGGCCGATAGCCTTTTGTTCCTTGGATGAAATCTCCAATAAACGACCGTGAAGAATTTCATCAGTTTTTATAGCGATCTCATGCAGTTTGGATATATATACATCAATATCTTCTGGAACAGCTGAATCAAAACAACCATGGATTTGATTTTTAATTTCTGCAACAATATGCGAATAACTTCCATGAATAAAATATTTTTCATCCCAGTCACTATTTTGTGATTCTTTCTGTTGGTATTTTTTGCTTCTTGGTAACTTGGAAATACTTGACTTATACTATAACATAAGAAGACAGTTATATTACTGTATGTAATCATATGAAAAATTAGAAGACAAAAGTGCATTTGGTACAAACAGAAAAATAATATGATAGAAAATTGATTTTGTTATTTGAGTTACAATTAAAAAAAAGCAAGGCAATAGAATCTAAAGAGTGCAAGTAATGAAGGGATGTTTGTCGAATCACTTTGAGGCTGAAATGTGAAACTCACGTGTTTTCTTTAGCTTGATTATACTAATTCAAAAAGTCCCAAGTGAAAAGTTGGGTGTGGGTGTGAATACTCATACACTCACATACCCAGTGCAACACTCACACCCCACATCCAAATTTGACTAATGACAATATTGATAAACATATTCTATTCATTGAAGTTTCGAGAAAGGATTCAGAATGCTCTAGAGCGATCGATGTCGCGCTACTTATATCGTTTAGCATCTGTGATATCTGTTGTTCTCGGTTACTATGTTTCATTAGTTGGGGGAAAGGATGTAGCTCTGTAATGCGGAGGGACCGTGAGGATCGAAAGGTTTTGATTTGCAACTTCCACTTACTATTCTCTTCGGTAAAAAAATTGATTATCATTAATAAAGAGTGAAAAGAGCTTGATAAAAATTTTATCATCTATCACACTGAAAAAAAATGTGACTAAAATATAAGCTCGATTATTGAATTATATTTAGGGATACTCTTTAATTAGAGGTGCTATTTCTTCTGGCAGACAGACAACCATTTCTCTCAGTGATTCTAAACAGAGTTTTTAAAAAGAATTTATACACCTCGTTAATCATTATCGAGCTATATTCCAGCATAAAATTGCTGGATTGGCATTGAGTTCTTCATGCTCAACTACCTATTGTAAATTTACAGTAGGTATAACAAATTATCTATGTTCAAAAATGAGAGTAAAGTAAATTTGAAATTACAATTAAATGCATCCAATAATAAAATATATTGAGATCACACAACAAATTCCATAGATACTCAGCCATACTCAAACTCATGCTATACTCTTCTTATTCTTTCATGTCTAGCGTTCGGATTGTACTTAACAATGCAATCCTAAGAACGAAAAATAAAACATATGTTCTTTTTAGTCTAATTTGTTAAGAACATCTGTCTGGATATTTGAAGGTTTGTGTTTCAAATCTCACGAAAGGATCGTATATTTTTCGTTCTGCTATACCATCAACATATAGCTGCTATTTCGTATAGATGAATCAATCAAAAGTAGATCGTAACATCTAGTATTACTCAGATATCTAAACATGCAATAATAATGAAGACATGAAAAATTCTCTAAATAAATTTATCCTTTTTTTAAACGGTAGATGCACTAATAACAAAAGCGAATACAAAATCATGTTTTACTGGAATTTCTGCATCAATGATATGTGAAAAGTTTGTGTCATGCACAATTCGATCGAAGATGGTTAGATCTTGCTGTGGTATCACAATAGGTGGTAGTGGTGATTGTGGTGGTCGCGGTGGTGGCGGTGGTGGCGGCGGTGGCGGCGGTGGCGGTGGCAGTTGTGGTTCTAGAAAAGTCATATAATCAAAAGAAAGCCAATGATAAGAATAAGACAAATAATTATTTAGCAAAATCTTGCCTCATTCTTACTGTTTATGCTGACTGTAATTGAAAAGATTTACTATTTAACATTTGATGAGAAAAATCTCGAAAAAAATTGTCCTATCCTTTCCATCTGTTAAAACATGTTTGGAAAAGATAAATTTAGAATCTAAGTTAAAAGCACTATGAAACAACACATGCAAAAATGTTTTATCATACTTTACTCGTTTACAACGAGCTATCTAGAAACAACACTAAAATGTAATCTTTAAAAAAATAATTGGAAATGGATGTGACAAAGTGTATCAAATGTTTTAACATTTACAAAATTATATTATACATCCCAACCTATTTCGCTGCTTTTGACTTCAGTGGATCCGTCGCTTAAGTGTTTTTCGAATAAGTTAGAAAGTAATACAGTATCACATAAAGATCAATTTCTTCTATTGTACCCATTGCAGATGGTCTTTTTACAGATTATAGTATAGTGCTATTTCTTGATATACTAGTAGTGTAATGGCAGAACATGATAGACCTTTTCTGAATATATACGTGCAAACTACTTTCAGCCTAGATTCTAAATGCGTATTTATGATAATAATCTTTTAGAGGTTAAATTCAATATACCCTGTGGTCCTTGAATTCTCTTATCGGCTGTCGTTGTACAACAATAACAACCACAAGGCCAACACCAATAACAATAACCACAAGACCAATTACAGCAACTACAACGGCAAGGCCGACAACAACGTGAACCCATGATTAATAATTATCTAGAAAAAAAAAACAAATATAAATATTTATTTTAACAATCATGTGTGGCTGTAGTTCCATAACAAGATCCGCTAGGATAAAAGAACCGGTGCTAATGTTAGGACACCACACTCTGAAAATTGAGTTTTTAAAAATCATTTCTGCAATCTATTGGTTGTTCTTAGTATTTTCAGGTTGATGATATTGGCGAACAGATACTACAGGAATCGTTCGTAGTTTTCCAAAAGTACACATCAATCAGATCACATTCGCATCGTACATTGAAGAAATCAAATGGTTGTCACAAAGATTGTAAGAGATAACTATGCTTTAAAACTGTTTCAGCGTTCACAAACAAAAATACAGCAA